GTTCAAAGATGGAATAACACAAGATATGATGAAATACAAACATTTATTTATATGATTTGCAGATCTTTGAAATTTGGGAAATAATTTTTGTTCCATGTTTCATTCATGGTCTGTTTAAAACATATGGAACTTTAGAACCAAAAATGGAACAAAAAAAAGGTCAACAGTTTGATAAACTCGAGTAAATATGTATCTGTTCAATACACTTTTATATCAGATGAATTCACTGGAAGTTTTGGTCTTGATGTTTACTTCTGTTTGACCGAGACCAGATCCTCACACACAAGACGAGAACATTTAGTATAGAAAACAGAAAAAAAACATTTAATATAGAATCACACCAAGAATAAGTCACAGAAACACAAACCACCAACAAAAGACACTTATAATCCAGAAAATACAGTACACAACAGACATACATCAAACTCAGGACACTTCAGTCAGAGTCTGAGATCTGATCCTTCAGCACCACAAACCTTCAACCTTCTACCTTCAACTTTAAATTTTAAACCTTCAAACTTCAACTTTCCCTTTGTGTTTCAGGCCAAACGGAGTGGACGATCTGCTGAGCTTGGCCAGACAGTTTGACTACAACATGCTCCACGAGACTCACACAGACCCAGAACAAGACCCAGACCTGGACCCAGACCCAGACATCGGCCCCACCCAGAACCCGTCCCAGAACCCGGGTCCGGACTGGGTCTCAGACGACGACCTGGACTTCCTGTTTGACGGCTCGACTCAGGGCGCGAGCGGAGCTTTCAGTCCGGACGTCATGGCTCCAAACGTGACCCAGAACTTCAGCCGAGTAAAAACACCAGATGATTTTCAGAGTAAATCCTCGGCGAACGCTCCAGACGCGACAGAAGAACTCGGGAAAAGTCAAGCAAGTTCCCGCAGTTTGCAAAAAGAACCGATTCCCCCGAGACTTGAACCAAATCCCACCGAGGATCCGTCCGAGTCTCCGCTCCGTCTCTCCGCTCCAAAACCAGAAAAACTAAATTCTCAAAACAAAATCTTCAAATTCAAGTCTTTGTCAAACTCCAGATCCGATGACATTTCGCCCAAACTTGCGTCTCCGGTTCAGACTTGTGACCTGGACGACTGGGCAGACGACGATTTCCTGGAGGATTCGCTTCTGTTGGAAATGACGCAGAATCCGTTTGGTTTTCTGTCGCCAAATTCCACGTCGACGCAGAAGAACGTCGGGAAAACGGACGGAGCGAGGCAGACGTTCGCTCTGACCGCGAATACGAACTTTTCCTCAAACTTAAACGCGAGACTTGACGCTGATGGGGATTTTAGGAAAACATCGGAACAAACTCGGTCAGATTTTAATGTGGGTTCGACCGGAAATGTCATTTACCCGAATTCAACAACGCGACAAAATAAGACTTCAAAAACTCTCAAGGAGAATTCTCATCGAAATATCGGCGCGAAATGGAGCGACGCCAAACAGCCAGCAGGTTTTTCGATTCCTCCGAACGATTACAGCTCAAAACCGTCTCAGAATGTGTCCAAGTGTTCGGCCGAAGTCTCTCAAAACAACAGTTCCACCTCAAAACCAGCAGGAGGAGTTTGTTCAGAGACGAATCCGAGGTCGGAGGACGTGTGGGCGTCGAAACGGGCGACGGCAGCGGCAATGCCAACTCCGGACGCAAACACTTTCAGGAAAACGTCGCACGGTTTCCACAGCAACAGTGCAGCAAAAAGTAACTCGAATTCCGTGTTCCAAAGTGCTGAAAACATGAGAGCGACAGAAAGTTCGCCCGCAAATCCAGACGACGGTTTTGGAGACGATCTCGACGCCATTTTCTCATCGGACCCGATTTGGGACGATCTCGAAGACGACGAACTCCTGTGTGAGCTCTGCGACGACGTGGAGAGCCAGATACAAAACACAGCCAATCAGAGCCAGAGGGCGGGGCAGACGGCCAATCAGAGCCAGAGGGCGGGGCAGACGGCCAATCAGAGCCAGAGGTTTGGGCAGGGGAGCGACCAGAACCAGCAGATGGACAAAACGCAACAGACGGCCAATCAGACGCAGAGAACAGTTCCTGCAGTCAATCACAAGGCTGTATTAGGACAGAGGGCGGGACACTGGGTCACTCAGGTGAACAGCGCCGGACCGGGAGCCAATCAGACGCCTCGGACAGGACCTGGAGCCAGTCAGACGTGGAGCAGCTCTGGAGGTGAGTCAAGGAGGAGGTTCTGGGAGAGGAGAGGTTTGGGCGGAGGAGATGGAGGAGATCCTGGGGTTGGGTGGACGTGGAGGAGATGGAGGAGGTCCTGGGGTCGGGTGGACGTGGAGGAGATGGAGGAGGTCCTGGGGTGGGGTGGACGTGGAGGAGATGGAGGAGGTCCTGGGGTCGGGTGGACGTGGAGGAGATGGAGGAGGTCCTGGGGTCGGGTGGACGTGGAGGAGATGGAGGAGGTCCTGGGGTGGGGTGGACGTGGAGGAGATGGAGGAGGTCCTGGGGTCTGGGGTGGACGTGGAGGAGATGGAGGGGGGTGGACGTGGAGGAGATGGAGGAGGTCCTGGGACGTGGGGAGGAGATGGAGGAGGTCCTGGAGGGTGGGTGGAGGAGGTGGGGTGGGTGGACGTGGAGGAGATGGAGGAGGTCCTGGGGTGGGGTGGACGTGGAGGAGATGGAGGAGGTCCTGGGTGGGGTGGACGTGGAGGAGATGGAGGAGGTCCTGGGGTGGGGGGGTGGACCTGGGGTGGGGTGGACGTGGAGGAGATGGAGGAGGTCCTGGGGTGGGGTGGACGTGGAGGAGATGGAGGAGGTCCTGGGGTGGGGTGGACGTGGAGGAGATGGAGGAGGTCCTGGGGTGGGGTGGACGTGGAGGAGATGGAGGAGGTCCTGGGGTGGGGTGGAGGTGGATGATGTTCCTCGTTCTGCTGAGTCAGCGGGTTTTGTGTAATGTGTTAATGAAGACAGAGGACAGACACTAAAGTCCTGTTCAGTGTTGTGACCTTCTGCAGACGCTTCCTGAACTCCTCAGGAAGTCAGAGTGTCCCCAGGTTTGACTGCCCCAAATTTAAGACTTTTTTAAAGATCGTTTTAAGACCAGTTAAATCATAATTAAGACCGACATCTCACCAACTCTAATAATGACCAACCAACTACTACATCTAGAACCTAAGAGCCATGATCCATCCAACATCTTCCTCGACTCTACTGATCGTTTTTATTCGTTGCCGACGGCGCCAGAAACCAAAGTTTTGTTTGCACATTCTCCAAATTAGACGTTCAGTCACGTTACTTGATTTGACGGGTTTTTTTTCTCTCCGTTTAACGTCGCTCTGCAGCCCGGTTGAGTTTACAAAAAATAGGCAAAATTTAAGACCTTTGGGAAAAAAATAAGACTTGGACAACAAAATTTAAGACGTTTTTAAGGCCTTAATTTAGGAACATGAAATTTAAGACCTTTTTAAGACTTTTAAGACCCTGCGGCCCTGGAAGTGCCTCCGCTGCTGGGCCTTTTTCACCAGAGCTGAGGTGTCGATTTGACCAGGAGAGATCCACACAGACGTGAACCTCGAGGAACCTGAAGGTCTCCAGTCGCTCCACACTTTGGCCGGTGATGTTCAGGGTTCTGTTCGGTTCTGTTCCTCCCAAAGTCCAGGATGAGTTCTTCAGTCTTGGTGATGTTCAGTGGAGAGTTGTTATTTGCACATCACTCTCACGAGAGGCGACCGGAGTCAAACAGGTCTGATTTTCTTGACCGTTGATTGTTGATGAGGATCTGGTCGTGAGGGATTGATCTGTTCTCGTTCCCTCATGTTCACGACACGAAGCACGACGCACGATTAAGACAAAACTCGATCCTAAAAACAGTCGCACGAGGGAAAAATCAGCTCAAAAAAGGCCAAAAATCTCAGCGTGTTTGCTCGGCTTGAATCGCGTCTCCAGACCATCGACGTGTAAAGAAGAAGAACGAGGAAGGGAGGGTGACGTGGTGCTGTCAGGAGGCGTCCGGGTGGTTTGGTGTTGGTGGTTTCACACGACATTACAACATTCTGTAGACCAGGAGTCTCCAACCTGAAACTCACCAACAGATTTCACAATTCTAGCTGTTTTTATGACGTAATCGTGAACAGAGAGACGAGTGTTTAGTTCCAGCTTCAGTTTTGTCGTTTTGTTCAGAGGAAGGAAACTCGTTTATGCGACACATTTAACATTTTCACTGTTTTGACGATTAAAATGGGTGGTTTTTTTTACATTCACTTTGCACAAGACGCGGTTTAACATTTTCATCATTGAATCGATTTGAAATACTGTATCGTATTGATCGGTGAGCTGGTCTGTGTGGAGGTTCTGTGTCGGAGTCTTATGGACCTTCAGCTCTGGTCTGTGGTTCACTGAGGTTCACGCTCAGATCGTTCTTCACTGTGACGTTTGTTTTCTCCTCACAGCGCCGCAGCAGAGACACGACTTTAACTTTAAGAGACCCGCCCCCGTGCCCCCCCCTGGACCCCCCACCAGACCCTCCTCTGGTCTCTCCTCTGGACCTTCCTCCGCTGGAGCTCCAGGTGAGAGGGTGTTTACAATCAGCCTCACATCAAACGTGCTCTATGAAAGATCATTTGTTCATCAGATTTTGAATTTTAAACTCTTAGCATCTGAACTCTCGTGGCTTTATTGATTCTCTTTGTTTTTTGGGCTGATTGGACCTGATGAGGCAAAAACAAAGAACTATATAAAGCTTTGAGATGCAGGAGCGTTGCTTGGATTTACAAAAATGTGCAGAATTGTCCTTTTGGTGTCTTCAGTGTAGGGACCAGTCTCAAATACAAAGTAGGAAAAAACTGAGACACTCAAAAAGTACAAAATAATTCAAAGCCTTTAATAGCACACGGCAGATAAAGTTCAAATATACAGTGTATATATATATATATATATATATATATATATATATATATACACATATATATATATATATATATATATATATATATATATATATATATATATATATATATACAGTATATATATAGTGTGTATATATATATTAAAGGGTCAGAGATGTAAAATAGAAATTGATTACTCATTTAAAGTTTGTGGTTTTAATCTAACTCTCCACTAAGTCCTGGAAACTGGGCGGCCTTGAGAGTGTAGATCCAGCAGGACTCTCTCTCTGTAATCGTTTTTTATAAGAGGAGCAGATAGACTGAAAAAAAAGATTACAGAGAGAGTCCATGTGCTTTGAATTATTTTGTACTTTTTGAGTGCCTCAGTTTTTTTCCTACTTTGTACAAAGAATTATATTTTTATATGATGTTGTTTCTGAGAAAAATGATCCACATGTGAATCATAAAACATTCATTTTGTCTTTTTAATCATTTTGATGAAAAACAACAAAGTCACAGTTGAATAATAATTTGCAAAAATTATTTATGAACAACCCAAAATGTGTTGGACACAATGTGCAGACGTCAGCTCCTGGAGGAAACCTGCTGCTGCTCAAATTAACTCTGTTTTCTGTTGTCTTTTATTCTAAATTTTTGTTGCTGAAATTTTAAGTGTACATTTTCAAAGAGTTTAGAATTTAATATTAAAAAAAAATCAGCTTTTAAATATTCACCTCAGAGAGTAAAATTCAGAGAGTAAAATTCACAGTGAAAAAAATTTGCAGCAAAAATCCAAGATGCCAAAGCAGAGGCCTCGATCCAAACTGATCTGATCTAAACTTGGTGAGAAACAGGAAATGGAGCAGAAAATCGATCTGATTGGTCAGAATTCACCTAATCAAAACCTCAGGCCCCGCCCACAGATGAGAACAGCCAATAGGAAACCGCCTCTGTCCTTCTCGCTCACATCAGCATCGCGAATCTTTGTTGTGAAATTTTACACAACGAATTTTACAATCTGAATTTTGACTTTTGAATTTGAGGCTTGAAAA